GGCTCGGAGAACCTTACCCCAGATCACACAGCTAGTAAGTGGCAAAGCTCATATTTAAATGAGTCTTCTATGCTCTTTTTTTAAAAAATATTTTTTTAATGTTTTATTCATTTCTGAGAGAGACAGACAGACAGACAGACAGACAGACAGACAGCATGAACAGGGGAGGGTCAGAGAGAGAGGGAGATACAAAATCTGAAACAGGCTCCAGGCTCTGAGCTAGCTGTCAGCACAGAGCCCGACGTGGGGCTTGAACCCACAAACTGTGAGATCATGACCTGAGCCAAAGTCGGACGCTTAACTGACTGAACCACCCAGGCACCCTGAGTCTTCTATGCTTTTAAATAAACTCAAGTCTGATTTATACGCATTCAGCTTTACTTCAGCTGTGTTTGCAAGGGTAGGGGTGGTAAGATGTAGGCACAGGGGTGAGTCCTAGACTTTCACACCTCACTCATCTACAATTATCCCCTGATGCTTATTCTGGTGCAGGGTTCCTGGGCAACCCCTCCTCAGCGGGGTCGGCTCCTATATGCTCCACTGTTATTGGTGGAGGAGGGTGCAGCGGGGGAGGGATACCTCGGCAAATCCAGTGGTCCACTGCGCACCTTCACCTGTCTTCCTGTGCCTGGAACCCACTCAGACTCCAGCCATGGCAAGAGGCGCAGTGCTGACAGCCTGGTGGAGGCTGTGAGTCCAGCAGGGCCATGGGCAAGAGGGATGGGGGAGAAGGGGAGGAAGTGGGAGCTTGGGAAGGAGGGAATAGGGGCCCCAGCCTCTGTGTTGTGCATGTAGCTGTCTATCCTTTTGCTCTGTAACTTCTGCTCAGCATGATGTGTGCATGACCGTCCCCAGTGTCTTCCCTGCACACCTTCATGCATGCATCATCTATCTACATCGATCCCTCTATGCATGCTGCTTTGATTCCATGCTGTGCAATCTGTCAACTCTGATCCCATCTGTGTCCCCAGGTGCTCATCTCCGAGGGCCTGGGCCTCTTTGCCCGAGACCCACGCTTTGTGGCCCTAGCCAAGCAGGAGATTGCAGATGCGTGTCGCCTGACACTGGATGAGATGGACAGTGCTGCCAGTGATCTGCTGGCACAGGGGACCAGCTCACTCTATAGTGATGAGGAATCCATCCTCTCTCGCTTCGATGAGGAGGACCTGGGAGACGAAATGGCCTGTGTCCATGCCCTCTGAATTCCCATCTGTCCTTCACTGCTCAATAAACCTCCTGCTCTCCCTTCCCCAGAGGGAGACAGGCATGGACCACAACCCTGTATTTTGGTATCTTTGCACTGGGGGCCTGGGGCTATCCAGCGGCCCCCAGCCATCCATCCCCTGCTTCAGCCCCGAGCCACTGCCCACACACGAGTATTTCCAGAAATCAGGACAGCCAGGCCTGATTATTCAGCGTCAGGGAAGGAGGGAGGAGGAGGAAGAGACAGCAGCCAAAAAAAGCTGGAGACAGAGTGGAGGTGGTGGGGGAGGGGGAGGGGACCGGACAGAGATGGAGGAAGGAGGTGGAGAGAGGATGTGTGGGGGCTTGGATGAGGAGTGAAAGGAAGTCAGAGATTCCACAAGGGGTCAGTCAGGTCAGACTGAGGAAGGACAGACATATGGGATGGAAAGGATAAGAATACTCAAGAGTGGAGTCCTGCCAGTAGAAAGGCCAGGAGGTTGGAATTAGCCTGGTATGTAATATATCAGGCAGAGGGGTCTTCTGACAGCAACAGGAATTTCCGGGAAGCTAAACTGGGATTAGCCTGTCTCCCACTTCCTACCTTCTGCCTAAGAGAAAGAAAATCTAAGTCCACTGACAGAAGACAAAGGGTTAGGGTCCCAGCCTGGGAGAACTCATGCAGGGCCCACCTGGTTTTCCTGAGACCACCTAAGAGTACCCCACTCTCCTCACACCCAGATCCCAGAGCTCTTCTTTCTGTTTCTTGCCCTGCCTGTAGTCATTATCCACCCTTTGGGGTCTTATTAACTAAGTGAAGCTGTACTGGGCATTTACTTTGTGCCAGGCACTGTTCTGGGTTTCCCTCAGACCAAAGTGAGCTGGCTTAGACATGACACAGGACTTGTCCAAGATGGTAGTCAGCCCCACTCCAAAGGAGTTGGAGGCAGTGGTGGAAAATGTCCTGGATGGGGCACCACTGGGGACTGACCTAGGGTTTCATCCGAGCTCTCAGAGCAGTAATTTCTCATTTGTATAATTTGTGTCAATCCAGCCAGGACTGAAATTTGAGGGAAGCCAGAATTGGAGACTGGGATTCAGAATATAGGATTGCACCAGGCCTTGAAACCAAGGCTTGGAGTGGTTAGGCTGGTATATTGTGGGCACAGCAAGTCATGGGCAGAACACAGAGAGTGAAGGGAGACTGTTGAGGGGTGAGGTGGAAAAGGCCAGATGATGCAGACCCTTCAATGCCAGTCTCTAAACCCTGGGAGTTTTCCTAAAAGCAGTGGGGAGCCATGGGAGATATTTGAGCAGGGTAGTGACATAGTTAACTGCATTTTAAATGGATGCTCTGACGGCTGTGCTGAAAACAGAAGGGAGGGGGAAGAGACTGGAGATGCTAAAATTGGCAGGAGCCATGGTTGCCTTAGCCAGGGGAGGTTGCAGAGGAGATGGTGAGAAATTAGTGGATTCCAGAGATGTGTAGGAAGTAGAATGAACCATTTATTTGGCCCCGGGCTATGGGCATAACAGTGATTATCTTGTTTAATCAGTGCAACAACACTATAAGTACCGTTTTAAACTATTTTACATGTCCAAAGTCATACAAGAATAAATATTAAAAGTGGTCTTCAAATTGAAGCGATTAAATGCCAAAACCCATGCTCTTTCCCCAAAAAGGCACTAAATGGAAAGTATCCATTACATATTTGTATAAATTTGACTGTGTGGGGGGAGATGTTTAAAAGATAGACACACATTCAGATGGTTCAGAATTCAAAAGGCACAGGGGCGCCTGGGTGGCTCAGCTGGTTAAACGTCCTATCTTGGCTCAGGTCATGATCTCAAGGTTCATGAGTTTGAGCCCCAAGTGGGGCTCTCTACTGTCAGCACAGAGCCCACTTCAGAACCTGTCTCCCACCCTCTCTGCCCCTCCCCGGCTCTCTCTTTCTCTGTCTCAAAAATAAACATTTTTTTTAAATGTTTTATTTATTTCTAGGAGAGAGAGAGAGAGAGAGACAGCGTGAGCAGGGAAGGGTCATAGAGAGAGGGAGTCACAGACTGAAACAGGCTCCAGGCTCTGAGCTGGCAGTCAGCACAGAGCCCGACGCGGGGATCGAACCCACCAACCGCGAGATCATGACCTAAGCGAAAGTCGGACGCTTAACCGACTAAGCCACCCAGGCGCCCCTAAACATTTTTTTTTAATTCAAAAGGCACAAAGGGGTACAAAGTGGAAAATCTCCCTTCCCTCTAGAAGCAGCCTGTGTTATCAGATGTTTTATGCATGTATAGGGTGCTTTACTGGTTAACTTAGCATAGTGGTTAAGAATAACAGGTGCTAGAGTCAGGCTTCCTGGTTCAGATCCTGGTTCCACTACTCACCTGCTGTGTGAGTTTAGGAAAATTCCTTCACTTCTCTACAGCTTAGTTTATTCAGCTATAAAGATGTAAAATGAGGATGGTAGTAGTACCTGCCTTATAGGGTTGCTGTAAGTATTTAAATGAGTGATATATTGAAACTCTCCCAACAGTGCTTGACTAGAACACAATTTAAGATGTTAGCTATTCTCTATATAATTATGATATATATAATTTTCTTTTCTTTCTATACCATTCCCACAGTTTGGTATTTTGCATTTCTTCCTTAACTATCTTGGTGATCATTCCATATCTCTATATTATTATTAATAATAGCTGCACAGTACTCCATTTTGTGGTTGTTTTAGAGTTTACTTAAACAGGCCACCAGTATTGAGCACTTAGGGAGTGTCCACTCTTTCATATTATAAACAGTACTGCAATGAATCATCTTTTACATACATCTTTTAGCACATGTATGAATCTACCTGTAAGCTAAATTCCTAGAAGTATAAACGCTGAGCCAAATAGTATATGGATTTGTTAATTTGCTGGATTTTGCCAAATTGCCCACTCTAGAGGTTATACCAATTTAACTTCCACTGGTAATTTACGGGAATGCCTGTTTCTGGACAACCTGCCAATATTGAGCTTAAGCAAACTTTTTTATATTCACCACCCTCAAAAATGGAAAAGAATATCTCAGTAGTTTTTGTAGCCATTTCTTTAGTATAAATGAGGCTGAACATCTTAAATTCCAATTGTATTTTATCCACTGGATTTTGCAACGTGGCAATCGCCATTGACCTTGTGGGCCCAGTTTTACTAGCATGAAGGAGGGATAGTCCAATTAAGAGGGCTGAGGAATAAACAGGGTGTAATGGGTAGAGTGGGAGCAGGCAAAAATATAACTAAAAGGAAAGAGAAATAGGGGAGATGGTTGGAGGGAGAGGGAGGGGTTTTTAAGACCTTGCACTATGTTTAAATCGCAGGGACTTCAGGCACTGCCAATTACTAGCTGGGCGATCTTGTGCACGTAGCTTCACCTCTCTGGGGACTCATTTTCCTCCTCCGTAAAAATTGGGCTAATAGTTCCTACCACATAGGGCTGCTGTAATGATTACATGAGTGAACAAATTCAACAAACTCAGTAAAGGACCTGGCAAAAATGTCATACCATAGGACCGAACGGTCCTCCTCGCCCCAGACCTTTAGCTGTGTTTTCAGAGACACCGATTTTCCCAGAGCTCTCTCGCGACTCCAGCCTTAGAACTGGAATGGCGGCTGGCAAGATTTAGGTTCCGCCGCCTGTGTGCAGGCGCGCGCGACGACTGGGGCGGGGGCGCGAGGGGCGGGGCCACGGCCGCCTGGGCTGTTCCGACGATCGCGCACCGCCCCCGCCGCGCCCCGCGCCCGCCCTTGTTAGCAGGCGCCTCCCGCCCCCCGCATTGCTGATGCTGCTGCTGGCAGACATGGACGTGGTGAATCAGGTACGCGTTCCAGCACCGAGGACAGAGCCCGCTGCTGCCCGGCCTCCCTGCCGGGATGCAGCGGATCTGGCGACTCTGAGAGGTGGTGGCCAGGGTCCTGGCAGCAGATACCCGGTCCCGGAGCTGGGGCTGGGGTCTGCGGCAGGCGAGGGAGGAAAGGGGAGGTGGAGAAAAGAAGGAGTGCGCCCTTTGCCGCAACGAGGGCCGTCCTCACTGCCGCAGCGGGGTCCGCCAGGAGCCGGATTCCTTACTCGCGACCGTGAGGAGAGGAGAGGAAGAGGGGTCTTGGGGCTAGGGTAGGGGCGGGGGGGGGCGAGGGGAGGAGGAGTGGAAGAAGATGGGGGTTGCTGTAGATGAGGTAGGAAATAGAGCGACAGAAGGCGTTGGGGCGGGGGATGGGGGGAGAGCTGACACCTGCCCCTCCCATAGAAGGTACCCTAGTAGATGACCACCCTTTCCCCCAGAACAGACCAAGGGGGACGATCCGATTTTGTCTCTCCAAAGCCCCTAGTCGCCCCTCCCCCAGCACATATCCAGTCAAGCCATGTCCCAGCCCTCCCCCACCTTAATTAGCCCGGACTTTCTCTACCATCTCACTCTTCTTCGCCACCTCAGAACCTCACCCCCTCTCTAACCAGTACCAACCCCTCCCCATCCTCATCACTTCAGACCCCCCCGACCACCATCTGACTCACCTTTACCGCTGTAGACCCCTCCCCCACCCTAGCCAACCTGATTCCCTCCCTGTTATGACTCACCTTCACCACCCAAAACCCCCTCCCCCACCCTAATGAACCCCAATTCCTTCCTCACTCTCTCCACCTGATCCCCTTGGCCATCTGACTCACCTTTACCGTTTCAGACCTTTTCGCCTTCCCCAATTAGTCCTGACCCCATCCACATCTTCCTCACCCTGACAACCCTCTGCCATCTACCTCACTATCTCACCAAACCCCCCCTTCCAGTCCTGAACCCCAGGGGTCTTCTCTCAGAGACCCTGTGCTCACATTCCTTTAAGTGTCACTTTCTCCTTCTCACTCCCTCTCCGAACATCACTCCCTCCTGGAGGTCACATGCCCTATCCCCAAGGGTCATTGCCTGGTGGCCTTGCCCCTCACCTCCCTCTCCATGCCCAACAACCCCACCCCCTCCCCACCGTTTCTCTCCTCAGCTGGTGGCCGGGGGTCAGTTCCGGGTGGTCAAGGAGCCCCTTGGCTTCGTGAAGGTGCTGCAATGGGTGAGTGTGGATTGGGCCATGGGAAGAGAGAAGGAGGTAGTGGGGTCTGGAAGAGCAAGGGTGGAGTAGAGGTGGGGAGCACAGAATGGATGGGTGGGTGGGGGATGGAAGGTGATGAAAAGAATTGGGCTCCAGGGTGAAGTCCCAGGGGGTTGGGGCTAGAGAATAGATGGGCTGTGATGTGACGTCATGTAAGACCAAGGGTACTCCCCGTTGTGAAGTGAAAGAATGTGACATCCTACCTCCTCCCCTGAGGTGAGAGAGGGGCAGGGGAGGTGGAGCCTGAAGCTGGTTGCTGCGGAAAAGATGTAAAGCCAGAGAAACCCAGAGACAGTGAAAGAAAGAGAATGAGAGGCAGGAAATGATGGAGACAGAGGTGGAAATACCAAGAGAAAAAGATTCAGAGATGAGAGAGAGTGAAGACAAACAGAAAGAGACAAAGAAAAGGGAGACAGAAATGTACAGAGAACAGAGATCCAAAGAGAAATAGACACAGGGAAAGTTGCAGAAAAATGGAAAGGGGGAGAGATTGAAACAGAGAAAAAGAGGTACTCAGAGGAGAGAGAAAAGGAGGAACTGAAAAGAGAAAGAGATTCACAAGGGAGACAGAGAGAGCATGATACAGAGACCAAGTCAGAGATGGAACAGGAAGATAGAGACAAACAAAGGACAGAAAGACACATAGAGACATACATTTACACAGAGAAAGAGAAAAAAGAGACAGAAAGAGACACACATTGATGCTAGAGAGTCAGAAGCAGAGAGACAGAGATACAGAGACATCTGAGAAAGAGAAACAGACAGATACCAAGAGAACTAGAGATCTAGAGAACAACAGAGACAGGCAGAAATACACAGAGAGACACAGAAATAGAGAGACTGAAACGGAAGAGAGGAGGAAGGGGTCAGGGCATGGGGAGGTAGAGACTGAGAGAGACATTGAGAAAAAGACTGGAAGAGACAGCCACACCCCTGTAATCAGCTTGTCCTTGGAGCCGATGAGCCCTGATTAGGGGGTGGGGGTGGGGACGGGTCCATCTGCTGCTGTTTGTGCTGGGCCCTGATCTGTCCAGAGGAGGGCATCCCCATCCCACGTGTACACAGAATAACCATGGCCATCCCCATCCCTGCTGCCCAAGGTCTTTGCCATCTTCGCCTTTGCCACATGCGGCAGTTACACCGGGAAGCTCCGGCTGAGCGTAGAGTGTGCCAACAAGTCCAAGAGTGATCTCAGCATCGAGGTTGAATTCGAGTACCCTTTCAGGTGCGCCCCCACCCTACCCTATCCCTGGGATCCCAAGAGAAAGGGTGGGGGTGGGGTGGGACTGGCCAACACCACCTCCCCAGTGGCTCCTGTTCAGCCCCCACCTCAGGGGACCACACTGGCTAAAGTCACTGCGCAAGCACTGAGCACCTACCTTGTGCCTGGCATTGCTCTGGACATCTAGACATGTGGTGATCCAGACAGGCCTAGGCTGTTGACCTCTGGCTATGTTCTAGTGAATAGGGAGGGGCAGGAGACTGGTAATAGACAAGATCCAAAAGTAGAATTATATATGTATTTATAGCCTTACCACAGTAGGTGCTCAATTAATGTCAGCCAATCTTATTTAATTCCCATTCATTTGTTCCATACACATTTTTGAGAACCTATTGTATGCCAGTTTCTGCTCAAAGTGCTGGGGACCTAACGGGAAAAAACAGACCCAGCTTTTTACCCTTACGGAACCAACATTATAACAAATGAATTGATAGAAAGAGATGATTGCAGATTGGGAGAAATTCAAAGAGGGGACCCTCATGCACGGTTTTATAACAGAGAATAATGAGTGGATGCTGATTAGCTATAGGAAATGACTAAATCTAATTAAGCAATTCTTATATTTACTGAGCTGTGTGCGCCAGGTGCTAGGTACATGAGGGTAAGCACAAGCAGGCAAGGTCACTGACCTCACGATGCTACTTTCCTCCTGGGTGGGATCGGAAGACAGAGACCCACAGACACAACTTTAATAGAGGCTTCTGAGGCTCCTCCACTACTTGGACAAATCACATAACTGCTCTGGGTCTCAATTTTCTTGTCTGCAAAAGGGGATAATAATACCCACCTTACAAGGTCATGATGAATATTAAGTAAGTTAATACTTGGAAAGTGCTTAGCACAGTGCTGGGCACACAATAAGCATTCCATGAGTGTTTTTTATTTTTATTTATTTTTATATTAGAGAGAGAGTGTGTGTGTGTGTTCATGAGCAGGGAATAGGGGAAGAGAGAGAGAGGAGAGCCGGGGGGGGGGGCGGGGGAGGGGGCGGGGAATCTTAAGCAGGCTCCATGCTAAGCACAGAGCCCAATGCAGGGCTCGATTCTACATCCCTATCATCATGACCTGAGCGAAACCAAGAGTCAGACACTCAACTGACTGAACTACCCAGGCGTCCTGCTCCATGAGTGTTTTTGTTAAAATAAAGAAAATAAATACCTTTAAGGGACTCAGGAAAGAGGTCAGGGATTGAGTTGGAAATTGGGCACTTTTGAGCACTAAGGATAAATGTAGGCTCAGGGGATCACCCAGGGTGAGAGGGAAGAGTGGAGAGAGGAAAACCCAGCACAGGCCCTGAGCAATGGTTGAAAGAAAAAGAGGCACTAGAGAGGTGTGGCCCCAGGGGCAGAAATCCACTGGTTCACAGAAGCTAGGGAAGAGAGTTTGGGGAAGGATAAGTTGGCAGGATGGGATACTGCTGGGGACAGTCCCTTTGGGAATCCAGAAGGCCACAAAAGCCAGTGGACCCCCAATAGCTCCCATACCTAGGACCTCCAGTCCTAAGATATGCCTTTTACCCACAAGTCTCCTGGAAAAAGAGTCTTTTCCCCCAGCCCTCCTAACTGATGCCCCCACTTCCCTTAAAACCCCCCAAGAAGCTCTCAGGACAGCCCCTTCTCCCAACCCAGCCTACTAGGAACCCAGAAACTCACCCAGATTCAACTCTTAGCTCTGTCATTTAGCAATTATACAACCTTGGCCTTAACAAAACCTTGCTGAGCCTCTGTTCATCTGTCAAATGGGTATAATAATGCCTGCTTTAGAGAATCGAGGGGGGGAGGGTCATTAAATGAGTCAATTATTTAAAGTGCCTTGTAGGTCATCAATAAGTGCAAGCCCCTTCCCTCAGAACCTTTGCTACACAAGAGGACTAGCACCATTTCCTTAGTCTCAGAATCCTACCCCCCAATCTGAGACCAAGGATCTGGGACCATACCCCAGACCTTCTCCCTAAACACATTTTCTCCTATGACCCCTCCTCCATTACATCGCAGGAAAGGTCCCAGGATACCTCCCCAATCTGCCTCTCCCCACCTCACATACATACTTCCAGGACCCCTTCTACCCTCCTGTCTTTCTGTTTCCTGCTTTGTAGTCTCTGAGCTCTCCTCTGCTATGCATGTTTCTTTTCTCTTGGGGACCTGAAGTGGGGTAGAGAGAAGAGTCAACACGATGTAAGGGAAAACATAGGGTTCAGATCCCACTGCTCCATTCACTCCCCAGCTGTGTGACTTTAGGCAAGTTAATGTGCTTCTCTGAGCCTCTATACATTTCATTTATTTTTTTTTTTAAATTTTTTTTTAAATGTTTTATTTCTAGGAGAGAGAGAGAGACAGAGTGAGCAGGGGAGGGTCAGAGAGAGAGGGAGACACAGACTGAAACAGGCTCCAGGCTCTGAGCTGGCAGTCAGCACAGAGCCCGACGCGGGGCTCGAACCCACGAACCGCGAGATCATGACCTAAGCGAAAGTCGGACGCTTAACCGACTAAGCCACCCAGGCGCCCCTATACATTTCATTTAATACACATTTACTGAGCACCTACTATGTGGCAGGACTAATCCAGGTCCTAGGGATACAGCAGTGAACACAACAAAGGAAAAACCCCAGACCTTCTCTAGTTAACAAGAAAAATCAAGAAAAAAGTAAGACACACGATATGTCAGATGAGTGGGGTATCATTGCTATGGAGAAAAATGGAGCTAGGAAGAGGGCTAAGGAGTGCTGGGAGGGAATGGGTCCATTTAATTTTAATAGTGAGAGCAGGGAAGGCCTCACTGAGGTGACAGTTGAGCAAAACCTGAAGGACATGAAGGGAGTGATACATGAAGATATCTAGGAGAAGGACATTCCAGTGCAAAGATCCTGAGGTGGAAGGGTGCCTAGTATGTTTTACTAATAATTAAAAAAGGTCAAAGTGCCTGGGTTGGAATAGGGGATGAATAAGACCCATTTCACCAGGATGCTGTGAGCAATCAGAAAATGTGACTGGAATACACTAGGTGCTCAGTGAATGGTTATTTCCTCCTCTTTCTTCCTGGGACCCTGTCAGAATCTGGGGAACCCATGACTGGTAGGGGGAATGCGGGTGTTCTTAGGGTCTGGGCCACACCTGCTGTCTCTCTCCACAGGCTGCACCAAGTGTACTTTGATGCACCCACCTGCCGAGGGGACACTGACAAAGTCTTCCTGGTAGGAGACTACTCCTCATCGGCCGAATTCTTTGTCACAGTGGCCGTTTTTGCCTTCCTCTACTCCATGGGGGCTCTGGCCACCTACATCTTCCTGCAGAACAAGTACCGAGAGAATAACAAAGGACCTATGATGGTGAGCCCCCACCGCCACTCAAATGCAGGGGCCGGGGGGGACACGAAGGCTCAGGGACACCGCCATGTTCATAGGCCACACTGAATCCCACAGTCCCACATGCAAGCAGTCACCATAACAGCCACAGATGTTATTGCTGCTGAGGCTGTGAGCATAAAAGAAACCAAATCATAGAATGACAGGGACACACTCATAGCCCACACAGAATCCCAGACAGGCCTACACCTGGAAACCCGCCACCTCACACACAACCACACAGTCTAGATCAAAGAAAGGTGCACAGAGGTCATGCCTGTCACCGTGACACCCAGACACACTGATTCCTACACAGCTGTACTCATACACCCTCATCCCAGACACTAAATGACACAGATTTCCACATTCAGACAAAAGCACGAAGACACACTACTTTCCACAGATTCAGAAACCATCCCACAAAATCCCCCCCACACCTACACATCACAATTACACTCCCACATCCTCTGTGTTACATACACCACACACAAGCCCAGGTTAGGAATCCTCACCTTCAAGTGAGTATTGGGGGCTTCAGAGCTGAAAAGGCAGGGGAGAGACAGGGCTTTTCTGTGGGACCTCCCCCTCCCCCAAGGAAGCCTGTGATCTGAGGAGGCCCCACAGCATGACATGAAGCAGCCTACTCACAGCGTTGTCTGCCTTTCTTCTGTCTGTCCTAGGACTTTCTGGCCACGGCAGTGTTCGCCTTCATGTGGCTGGTTAGCTCATCAGCATGGGCCAAGGGGCTGTCAGATGTGAAGATGGCCACTGACCCAGAGAACATTATCAAGGGGATGTCTGTCTGCCACCAGACAGGGAATACGTGCAAGGAGCTGAGGGACCCTGTGACCTCTGGCCTCAACACTTCAGTGGTAAGCCCTGGGAAAGTGGCTGAGCTGGCGGGCCAGCTGGGGAGGGAGGCTGGGAAATTCACAGTCTGGCATGGGGAGTGGTGGAGAGAGAGCATGAGAGGAGAATTTAGATGAGATCCAAGAGGGCTCCCTGGAGGAGACATGCCAACAACAGTGCCTTTAAGGATGAGATAGCAATTTTAACCATTGCGATACTCCAAATAGTCCCCAAAAGGGGAATATGAGGCCTTCTGACCGATTAGGTTAGGGAGATCTGGATCCCAGGCCCAGCCTAGTCATGTAGAATCTCTGACGACTCAAGACCATCTTGCGACCTCAGTGTTATGCAGTTTGCAAAATGCGAGTAACTTGCAATGCTTCCCACTTGGGCGCCCCCTACTGGCTGGAGTCAAAGTGTCTGAGTTTCAATCCCAGCTCTGACACCTGTGACCTCAAAACTAGTTCCTCAGCAAGGGGGAGAAGAAGGGCGGAAATGGTGGGGGAAAGGGAGAGAGGCAAACCAAGAGAGACTCTTGAATGCTGACAAAAACTGAGGANGAAGGGCGGAAATGGTGGGGGAAAGGGAGAGAGGCAAACCAAGAGAGACTCTTGAATGCTGACAAAAACTGAGGACTGATGGATGTGGGGGGGAGGGGGGAGGGGGATGGAGGAGGGCACTTTTGGGGATGAGCACTGAGTGTTATGTAGAAACTAATTTGACAATAAACTATTTGTAAAAAAAAATAAAAATAAAAAGATATTAAGGACAAAAAAAAAAAAAAAAACTAGTTCCACAGCCTCATTCTGAGCATGTAAATTGAAAACTAGGGGCGCCTGGGTGGCTCAGTCGGTTGAGCGTCCGACTTCGACTCAGGTCATGATCTCATGGTTCATGGGTTAAAGCCCCACGTCGGGCTCTGTGCTGACAGCTAGCTCAGAGCCTGGAGCCTGCTTCAGATTCTGTGTCTCTCTCTTTCTCTGACCCTCCCCCTGTTCATGCTGTTTGTCTGCCTCTCTCTCAGAAATAAATAAAACATTAAAAAAAAAAAAAAGCTAGTATGAGGCCCTGCTCCAAAGTTGAGTATTTAGTGAACTAATAACAAAGTGCTTAGAAAAGGGCCTGGCACGTTGTATACAAGTGGTACAGATGCTAAGATTCCAACTTTTTTCTGTCGCTTGCTGGGTGTGAGACCTTGAGTATCTTAGCCTCTCTGGGCCTCGGTTTCCTCAACTATAAAGAGGAGATATTACCTTCTGCCCCAAAATTGAATTATATTATATGTAAGTTCGATATATTTGTTCTAATATAAAAGTACATATTTATATAATATTTATGTGTATATACATATATTTGCATATACAAACCTATGTGTATATATGCATCTATTGGTGGTATATCTACATATTTAATAAAAATTTATGCCTAACATTTTACTATATTACAAATTTATAGTTTACCATAGTTTATACATGTATAAATGTGTATATGTAATAGTGATTGATGTCAACATCCCCGAGAATCTGAATTCTAATACCCTCCATGCCCTCCACCCCCACCCCAGGTGACTTTTCTCCACATTTATGTTCATGAGCCAGGACTCTATAGGGCCTTGGTTTTAGAAACTACCACCCTTCGAGGGGCGCCTGGGTGGCTTAGTCGGTTAAGCGTCAGACTTTCGCTTAGGTCATGATCTCGCGGTTCGTGGGTTCGAGCCCCGCGTCGGGCTCTGTGCTGACTGCCAGCTCAGAGCCTGGAGCCTATTTCAGTCTGTGACTCCCTCTCTCTCTGACCCTCCCCTGCTCACGCTGTCTCTCTCTCTCTCTCTCTCTCTCTCTCTCCTAGAAATAAATAAAACATTAAAAAAAAAGTTTAAAAAAAAAGAAAAGAAACTACCACCCTTCGGGAGGCCCGACACGCGTGGCCTCCATATTCCCCGGGGCCACGTCAAGGGGCGCGCGGTATGACAGCAGGGCTTTGTCTCCCTGCAGGTGTTCGGCTTCTTGAATCTGGTGCTCTGGGTCGGCAACTTGTGGTTCGTGTTTAAGGAGACAGGCTGGGCTGCCCCATTCATGCGCGCACCCCCCAGCGCCCCCGAGAAGCAACCAGCGCCTGGAGACGCCTATGGCGAGGCGGGCTACGGGCAGGGCCCCGGCGGGTACGGGCCCCAGGACTCCTACGGGCCCCAGGGCGGCTACCAGCCCGACTACGGGCAGCCAGCCGGCAGCGGTGGCGGTGGATACCCACAGGGAGACTATGGGCAGCAAGGCTACGGCCCTCAGGGTGCGCCCACCTCCTTCTCCAATCAGATGTAGTCTGGTGAGTGACTGGCGGGCGGTGCGGTCAAGGAGGGTACAGGAAAGGAGACGGGCGGGTCAGTAAGCCAATAAGAGTCAGTAAACCAATAGAGAGGCGGAGCTACATGCTAAGGACGAAAAACTAGGCAATAAATGAAGAGCAAGAGAGTGGTGCTTGAAGATGGGCAGAATGAAGAGCCAATGGGAGAGAAGTAGAAGTGCCTCTCTGAACGGAATGGCACGGGGACTTCCATATAGTGCAGGAGCCACTGAGGGAAGAGGAGGTGGGCCTTAGAAGTGATTGATAAGCCAATATGTTAGGAGAAGGCCAGTAGATGGTGAGAGTAAAGGGGCTTGGGTCATGAAGGTCAGACAAGCTCACCAATCTCGGAAGAAGTGATAGATCTGCCACCTCTCCCCAACCCTTGTGGTGAGGAAGGTGGTGTAGAATTTCACGAAAGGAAAAGGGAGCGTCAGAGGCAATGGAAAGGCTTGCAGGCCTTTTTTTCTGGGCCTGAAAAGGGAAGTGTGATTTCCTCATATACGAGGGAAGGAAATGGGGAGAAGAGGCAGGGGGATGGCAACACGTGGGTGGGGGTAGCTTCTTGCACTTGGCCAATATGGAAGGGATAGGGAGGAGTTTATTAGGTACCTCACATCTAATTCATCAAAAAAAAAAACCCTGCTGACTCTACTTTAAAAATATGTCCATAATTTTATACTTCTCACTGTCCTCTCCGAGCCTTGACATCTTCACAGCTTTCCACCCGTATTTCCATTCTGTTCTACTCACAGCATTGGGAAGGATCCTATTAAATCCTAAATCAGGACACGGCCCTCCTGTGCTCAGAGCTCTGGCTGAGCTCCCATCTCACTCACATTAAAAGCCAAAGTCCTCACCAGGGGCCTACAACAAGCCTCACCAGTCACTTCTCTGACCTCCGGCTTCCTACTACTCCCCACCCCCAATTCTGTTCCAGGCACAATCCAGCTTCAGGGCCTTGGGTACTTGCTCTCTCCCTGGAGTTTTGCACCCACACACCCTGATAACCTTACCCGGCCAGCTTCTTACAAGTTCCCTTTCTTATCTCTCTTTTAGTACCTTGTGTTTGTCTTTATCACAGTCCGTGATTATTAGTTAATATGTTTATTGACTATCTCTTCCACTAAACTAGGCGACGTGACTATGACTTATTTATGCTGCATACATATCACTTAGAGCCCTACTAATATTAAGAAACCATTATTGAGGAAATAATAGAAATGACATGAGGTATTTTACTCTCATTTTGCTTCTCTGCTCAAAATCTTCCCATGACTTACACCTCATTCAGAGTCAAAGCTAATGCCCTCACCGCCTAGTCCACAAGGCCGTCTATGACCCCATTACCTACCTCTCTGGCATCACCCCCTACCACTGTCCCATACTCATACCACTCAAGCCCCACTGACCTCCTTGCTGTTCCTCAAACACACTAGACATGGTTCCACCCCAGGGCCTTTGCACAGACCTTTCAGGCATGGTTCCCCCTGCCTAAAATGGCCTTCATTCCAGTTATCTACATGGCTAATTCTTTCACCTCCTTAATTCTTTATTCCAATATCACTCCTTAAATGAAGTCTTCTCTGACTACCCTACTTACTACAGCAACGTTTCTTCCCGTGTTGGTACTCCTAATCCCCCTCACTCTGGTCTACTTTTTGTTTTTACATTTCCCTTATTACTTCCTTACGTCATCCTAGATAACTCGCTTATTCATTTTCGTTATTGTTTGAAGTCTGTCTCCTCTGCCACAATGCAAGCACCACAAAGATAAGGATTTTTGTTTTGCCCAATACAGTTTATCACCAGTGGCTAGAACAGTACCTATAAATGTACTTTTTGGGGTTGGGGGAGGGGCAACCATAATGTCTTTCATACTTAACCTAGTGGGCACAAGGTATATCTTCCCAATAGGAGCGGCTAGAGGACTATGAGTGAAGGAAGAAGGAAGGAAGAAAAGGCATGGCAGATGGAGGGTAAAGCCGAGGTGGAGGCCTAGCAGCCCAGCCCCCCTCCCTAAGGGCATGACCTAAGTCTGGACCCCCTCTCCTTTCTGTGTCTTTTGTCTCCACAGGTCAGTGCAGCCCGGGAGGACCCCATGGGTGGGCAAGAGCTCAGAAGCCCTGCCCCCCTTCCCACCCCTACACCCCAGGTCTCCGCCCCTCAAGCCAGGAGACTCTAACTCTCTTTGCTGTTTATATATATATATATTATATATAAATATCTATTTATCTGTCTGAGCCCTGCCCCCACTCCACACCCCTCCTGCATTAGGGGCCTGACATTGAGTGGGCCCCTCTCCTACCCCCACCGCTTCCCTTGCATCCCTTGGCCCCTCTCTGTTCCCTGGCCCTGTGCCCTGAGGTTGGGGGACTCCGAAAGGGAGACAGGGAAAAAACAAATTTCAGCTATGTGGGGAGGGTGGGTGTGACTTCAGACTCTCTCCCCTCTCTCCCTTCCCTCCTCCCAACTTGGCCTGGATTCTTCCAGCAATGTCTGGACAGGGGCCATTAGGGGAAATTCAACCCTGAGAGGGGAGAAAGGCAGACTCGGGGACTTGAGATGCAAGGTGGACTTGGAGAGGAGCTCTGGGGTGGAGAGGACTAGTCAGCCATACTGGATCTGGAGTCAGAAGAAGAGGGATGCCTTAGAGCATTCTGGAGTGGGGCTTGAAAGGAGGCTGAGGCTGTGGTTCTAGAATGGGTGTAGCTTTGAGTGAGGCGCGGGTTGGGCCCCAAGAGTGGGCAGGGTTTGGAGTAGGACAGGATTTTGTGGAAGGAGTGTGACTTGGAACCTGGAGACTGTTTGGAAGATCATTGAAGGCATGGTTCTAGAGGGGTGGGACCTGAATCAAGTAGGGGGTGAGGCTCCAGAATGGGCGGGTCTTGGGTTGGGACAGGTCTATGGAAGGGGTGTAACTAGGAACATTCAGGAGAATGAGTTTGATTGATTCTAAAGGGGGCAAATCTTGTGCAAGGCAAGAAGTGGGATTCAGGAATGGGCCAAGCTTGAGGTGAGGTCATGGTCTGGGTTCTAGGCAGGGCAGGGCTTAGAGTGGGTGTTCATGGTGGTTTCAGAAGGGGCAGCCCACCCTAATGGAGCAGTGAAAAAAAAATATTTTAAAGTGGGCAAGTTTGCCAGTGCGGGGGGGGGGTGCGGGGGGGCAGGAATATCCCTGGCCAAAGCTGGGGACTGAAGTAGCCTGGGAGGAGCTGAGAGGTGTAGCTTGGAGGGTAAGGGGTGGGACCCAGAGAGAAGCATCCCCCACACCCTTGCCCAGGCCCATGATGGGACAGCTAGGTAATCAGAGGACAGAGCCAATAGGTCTGTGGGGCCAGCCCACCCTTCTTCCCCTTTCCTTACCTCCTCCCTCCCTCCATACACCCACCCATCCCGGGGTGGCTAGAGACCCGGTCTGGAGTCCCTATCCTGCACCCTCTGCTGTGTCTGTGACGTCGGTAGTGCCTGTGATTGTGTGTTGCCATTTTGTCTGGCTGTGGTCCCTCCCGCTCTCCTCCAGACGCCCACCCTTTTCCTTGCCCTTCGGTATTGTTTGAAGACCTCCCCAAGGAAGAGCAAATAGGATTAATTCTCCTCCCCTAAATAAACTCCTCAACCACCTAGTCCACCCGGCTCTGATTTCTCAGTGTGTCTTTTTTGGGGGGCAGTGGTGGGCAATGAAAAGAAGGAGAAATGGGGGAGAGGTAGTGAGAGGAATCTCCACCCCTGACCTGCTGGACCTGCCATTCAAGTCACCCCATCATTTTAGGTCCCTTGAGCAGTGTTATAGGAAGCCTCATGTTCAGTGAAGCCTCTCCGGTTGAGCATTCTAAGTCACGCTCTGAGTAGTCCTGCCCAGTGTCCCACTACTGGCCGCCGGCTAAATACCCTGTCTTTCTAGGGGTTCCATTCTAATTCTGCTCCACTAGCCACTCTTCTTCCCAGATCCCGTGGAACCCTGTCCTCAAACCCCAAGGGGTCCGAATAGAACCCCTACACTTAACAAGGAGACTTCTCTCTACCTAACCCACTTCATATTCTTCAGACTCTTCTTTCTTGCCATTTTCTTCCTCTGCCCCAGCTAGAGAACCCGGAGACCGGCTGGGCTGCAAGGCCAGAAGGCAGGTCACTGGAGTGACTCATTAGTTCATTCATTCATTCATTCCTTTTAACCCCTCCCTGGCTACTCCCTGGGGCAGGGAGGGGCTGGAAGTGACTGGGATGTGCATACTGGAGCTGGGTACTGGTGAGGTCCTGTGTGCCCACAATAAAAGGCCCAGCTGCCACCGCCACCTTGCCTAATTAGAAACCCCTGCCTGGCACCCAAGTTCTGACTGCGGGCCAGGGACACCCTCCTCCCAGCCCCGAAGGATGGTGAAGCCTGACATGTGAAGGAGAGACTCCCAGCTATGGACTGAACTCAGGGGAAGGGATATCTAATTGGAGAGAGAAAAATGGGAGCCAGGGAGGGAAGGCTTTAAGATCTATTTCTCAGGACTAAGGGGACATGACAGCTGGGCCTGTAAGGAAAGGGAGGGAGCAGGAAGTAGGGCCTCCCAACCTGGCCTGTGACTTTAACCTTTTGCCCATAAATCTCAAATACTCCTGGCTCTGATAGGGTTTTAGTGTGGGGGCTGTAGGGGTGAGAGTTAGTTCTATGAAGGTGGCAAGGGAGCACCAGCTGGGACTGCAATAGGCTTGGGGATCACACTTGGCAGCATTCATTGGAGAGAAAGAGACCCTCAGAACATCACCAGGGGAGAGGAGGCCAAGAGGTGGCTTTAACCCCTCCTACAAATAAACATCCAAGATAAATGGACATGAAACGCCAGTACAAGTACAGTAGCGCACACCCCTTGCAGCCAAGTGGCCACTTCCAAGTTCAGCGCGCGCGCGCACACACACACACACACACACGCCCCTTCAGGCCCTAGAATATCCTGTAAGAGGCCATGTGTTACCCTGGGGTGGTAGGGGGCGTGCCTTCTGAGGCCTGGTTCTGTCTGGGGCAGGAAGGCTGGAGAGCTCTCCTCTACGGCTCTCCTGGGCTGCGTGCCCCTCACCTCTAGGCAGGGGGCGCCTTGGCCGGGGAGTGAGTGCAAGCCCGCGACAGGCGGTGCTTGGCGCGCTCCTCCCATGCCGGTGTCAGATATACGGAACAGAGCTCCCAGGCCGGACGCGCGGTGGCCTGACGGCCCGTGAGGATTCCATCGGCCTGACCCTGCCCGGCTTGACCCTGCCCGGGCGCGCCATGTTCGCGCGTGGGTCCCGGAGGCGCCGCTCCGGGCGCGCGGTGAGCGATACTCGGGGCAGCGGTGGGAGTCGGGTAAACTGAGGCCCAGGAGAGGGTAGGGGATAGGGATAGCGAGGAGGTGCGCCACCGAGAGTTTGGGAATCCCCAGCTCCAGATTCCCAGAACAGAGGGGATGGGGCCGCTGGAAACGTGTGGCGAAGGAACGTGGAGATCTGGTGGCAGCTGCTCCCTAATCGCCTCTCTGCACACTTCTATCAGCACCCCAGGACCTGGTGGGCCCCCTCTCGTGTGAATTCTAGGAGGGGATTCTGAGGGCCAAAAGACTGGGTCCTGGAGTTCTGGATTGCGTAAGGACCTCCTGAGCTTCTGAGGGAAGGGACTTCCCTTGTACCTTGGCAGAAAGTGATCTCAGGAATGAGGTCCTACACTTCCTGAGGTGCCTGAATACTAAGGGTCCAGGGATTGGGATTTAGGGGAAGAGGGCTTCCAGGCTTCTATCTGAGCCAGGAGCTTTTTGACTTCCTAGATAGTGGGGTTGCTCTCCCTTTGGAGTGGGTCTTTAAGTGGGGTCTGGGTTTGGTGGTCCAAAGGACCAAAGGCCAAGGCTTCTTGGGGTGGGGGTTATTGAATAGATCATGGGCCTCCTGAGATCCTGAAGGAAGGTCTCCAGTTCCTTGAGTATGAAAGGGAGAAGCCAGAGTGTGGGGGAAGGGCACTTGACTTCGGAAAAGAGGGACAGGGTTCATGTGGGGATCCCAAGTAAAGATGGGGCCTCAGACTCCTACCCTGTGGAATTGGAGTGCTGCTGGCCTCCTGGGTGGAGAAGGGGCCAGGATGAGGCCTGAAAGAAGACACCCGGATTAGGGACTCGGTGCTCTGGTGGGGAGAGTGTTCTGAGTTCCGGGGGGGGGGGTGTTTGAGGCCTGGAGGAGTCAGAGGCTGGTGGGAGGTGTCCAAGGCTGGGTGAGGGGGAAGGGAATTCCCTGAAAAGGGATATATAGGAAGATGGCCTCAACTGCCCCGCCTCTACCTCAGTGTGTCCTCCTCCCCTGCACTCCCTGCGCTGTCCTAGCCTGCCCAGCGCTGCCCTGGTGGGACAGGCCCCAGCGTGCGTCGCGGGCCTAGGAGTGGAGAGGCGGGCGTTGACTTCTCTCTCCCCGCCCCCGCACCTCGCCTGGTCCCGCGTCTGCCCTCACCCACTTTAGCCTCCAGAGGCGGAGGACCCAGACCGCGGCCAGCCCTGCAACTCCTGCAGGGAGCAGTGCCCCGGCTTCCTGCTGCACGGCTGGAGGTAGGTGACCATAAGAGGGCCTTGCCTTTGTCAGGGCCCCGCCCTCAGGGGAAACCCCCAGAAACTCAGGCCACACTCCTAGGCTTGAGCTCCGTCCACCGAAGAAGCTTAGTTGGGGCTAGAGCCTTAGGCTCAGACTCAGGGCCCCGCCCCCTGACTCATTCTCAATTGTCCAATTCCCAGGAAAGCTCCACCCACTGCATAGCCCCGCCCCCAGAAGTGTTCTCTGCTAGCTATGAGTCCATCCCTAGGGAAATCCTCAGTCCCAGGCGCCGAGCACCGTCCACTGACATCCAGCCCCTCTCAGGCTCAGAACTTTTCTCCCAGACCCAGTGTCCTATCCTCCCACTGGAGCCCTGTACCCAAAACGTCTCATAAAAATCCCACAGAGCCCACAGCCAGCACACTCGGGCCCTACCCAGAGGCTCAGAGCCCCCACCCGCCCACAAGTTCAGACCTCAGCACAGTCTAGAGTCTGCCTTTAGGGAAGGTTCACCCACAATATCCAAAGCCAATCCTGGAAAGAAACCCCTAAATTTGTAACTCCAATCTCAGACTCAGGGCCCCGCCTTTATTCAGGCCCGCTGCCAGGACAGTCTGACCTAAGCCCTAGAGATGATAGGGACCACAGCAGCCCCACCTCCAGTTGACAGCCACACCCTCCGCTCCTCTCTCACCCACAGCAGTTCCCCCGCCAGAGTTCTGTCCTGGCTCAATGTCCCTGCCCCTTAGCTGGACTTCCTTGGGCTGACAAGGGTTCCAAGTGAGCTGCTACGCCTTAGTAATTGATCCCCTTCCCGCCCCCTTAGAAAGATCTGTCAGCACTGCAAATGCCCGAGGGAAGAGCACGCTGTGCACACGGTGCCCGTGGACCTGGAACGTATCATGTGTCGGCTAATCTCAGACTTCCAGCGCCACTCCATCTCCGATGATGACTCTGGCTGTGCCTCAGAGGAGTATGCCTGGGTGCCCCCTGGTCTCAAGCCAGAGCAGGTGACCAGAGGCCGCCACCTGCTCTTGTTCTCCAGTGGATGCACACACACACATGCAGGCACACACACACACTTAGGTAGAAACCTATTTCTAGGACCACACTAGGGTTTGTGGTCAGACTACACGTATCCTTATGACTCCTATGTAATCCCACAGCGGTCGTCCCCCCACAATTCTCAGGAAACCCTGAGTGATCACTGAATGGGTTCATCAGGGCCTGTTCACCCCACTCCTACTCCTTAACTCAGGTCTTATCCCAGCACTTCATTCACCACATCGCCATCAATTGATTCGTTCAACAAATAGTTATTAAATACCTACTGCATGGCAGACGCTGTTCTAGGCACTGAAGACACAGCAGTGAACAAAACACACACACAAAAAAATACATCTGACCACATGGAAGTTAGATTCCTAAAGTGAACAACAGCCACTATAAACAAACCTGTAAAAATATGTCAGATGGTATAAGGTCTTTAGAATAAAAAAGCAGGGAAGGAGTAGAGGTAGAGAACTGTTAGGACTGTAAATAGGGTGCCCAGTTCAGCCTCTGTGAGAATATGATGTTTGGGCTTCCTGAAGGAGGTGAAGAAGTGAGCCATGCAGATACCCAAGGGTAGAGCTATCCAGGCAAAAGGAAGAGCTGATGCGAAGGCCCTGAGGCAGCAGGGTGCTTGGCACATGTGAGGAACAGTGAGGAGAACAGTGTAGCTAGAACAGTGAGTGAAGGTAGAGTCCAAGAGGTGAAGGTGGAGGTGAAGTCCAAGAGGTGGAAGGGGGGCATGGAGAGGACTTTGACCGCTGCTCTGAATGAGGGGGAAGCCACAAAAGGGTTGTGAGCAGAGGAGGGATGTGGTTTGTTCTAGGATTTAACAGGAACCCTCTGACTGCTGAGTGTAGAACAGACTCGTAGTAAGGGTGGAAGTGGGGAGAGGGGTGTGGCTAGTGAGGGAGAGGCTACTGCAGTAGTCCTGTGACTGATGACAATATTGGCAGTGGAAGTAGTGAGTGGTGATCAGATTGCAGATATGTTTCACAAACAGAGCTAAAAGGAGTTGATTGTGGGTGTGAGAGAGGAGTCAAAAATGACCTCAAG